TTTCTGTACCTCGAACTCCATGAATTAAAGGTCTCTTCATTTCTAGAGCTCATTCGTCAGGTGGTGCAATAGGAGGTTGCACAGGATCTAAGCTATGGTAAGATCTATCTGGAAGACAGAAAAAGAGAAACCATGTTTCACATAAGTTGTGAGGATATTACACCAAAGCCTCTAACTTGTAGTGAATGTTTAGTATACAATAGTCTTAGACAACATAAATAATGAAGAAAATATTAATTTCTTTCTCTTTCTTAATAGTCTCGAGAGATGCTATTCAATTCTTCCTATTTCCTTCGAAACATACCAATAATGCACAATACATATTCACAAAAANTTGAAGAGGAAACAGATATCAAAAACACATGCTACAAAATCCTATTTGTGATGCAACATTACAGCTTAGATTGGGCGAATATTAAAGTTGCCTTTGAAATAACGAGGTTCGACCCAAACTACACATAGAGGAGGGGTGAATAAGTGATCATGCGGAATTAAAATTTAATAATTAATTAGTAACAAGTCACTATTAATTATATCTAGATGGTTAATTAAACAGTTCAATTTCTCATATGCTGAAGTACCGCAGTTACGAAAACAATAAACAAATACAAGAAATGATCACGAAGAAATCCCAATTGGGTCAAAACTTCGGGCACTTTGCCAGTCAGAAATCCACTATAAACGAATTATGAACTTACAGTCTGTCCGATACGACCACTACTAGTATTTTCTGACTTCCAACTAAAATTTTCACAGCTCTCCCGGATTGCGTGCTTTTGCACCAACTCCCAACTACAATTTTCAAAGTCCTCTTGGATTGCGCGCTCTTACAACAACTCCCGACTTTATGAATTTGTCTATCTCAATGGATCAACGAAGAATTCCACGTTCTTCAACAACTGAAACTCCAGTCATCTTCCCTTGATCTTCAAAACTCTGACAGGTGTGTAGGAAGTAGCAATTTGGTATTTGGATTATGGATTTGATGTTTTCAATGCCAAGATTAAATCAAAACATGAAGATTGAAAGCTTGTTAGATGAAGAGGATATGGAGTAGTATGTATTTTCTCAATAATCAACCTTGTAAAATCCTTTTAGATGCGTTTGGTATTTATAATTTAGGTTTCGGGGTTGAATGAGCCGGACAAAAAGCCTTGAAAACGCAAATTAAAATTTTTCAAAAAATCCTGTCGCTCGAGCGAAAGTTGGGCAAAAGGCGGCAGGTGGGCAACAATGTTTCAATTTATGCCACTCGAGCAAAGTCCTGGCGACGGAATAGCAAAATTGTAGCGCCGTTTTTTCTTCTTTTACATTCTTAAACCTTATACCTAATACAAATCAATTTCTACTATTGGTAACTTACTCATTAACTTTTACAATATATTAAATCTAGTCCATTTTGTTCACAAACTTGCCAATTATATCAAAAATCTAACAAACTCCTCATTTAACATTCTGTGACAAAACTACAATCTAAAATTAAGGTAGTAAAACAAAATAGACTCAAAACACATACTACTATCAAATCAATTATCTTGATTGAACTATGTTTTTTTCCTTTTTCGTTCTAAACATGATTCCTAAAACAAACAACTCAATACTAAACGCATGTGAAACAGTAATAAGAGTAAGAGCAATTCAAACAGTTAATCCAATAATCCAAGCAGTTATAACACATAATACATCATTTTAGTTTCATATCATAAGGTAAATTAAGACGTAATATCAATATAACTCAACATACCCAAACAAAATATTGATACTACAAAATATCAAAACTTAATCTAACAATACTAAAATTATCTTATCATTTAATAAAAAATTTTAGATACATCGTGTCAAGTCAAAATTATCATATACATCAAAAATTTCTACTCCATCAATAAACTACTCCCAATTTTTGTCATAAAATGACAGGAGACCGAGAAAACCATATAATAACCCAAAAATGCAGTTGTTAGCCTGCAGAAGTACGTATAAGCAATGAACAGTAGCCATTCCCACATACGTAACTGAAGTTAACATGGATTAAATTGTATAAGCGACCCATGTGTATAAAGTGTCGCTAATCATTCGTAAGTAGGACTCCAAACCTTAATTTTGTGAGAAAGAACGTGCTAAACATCACTGCCAATAAATATATTCCCTTACTTATGAAAGTCAAATCATTTAAAGCACATTAGAACATTTAAATAAAACCTCATTTTATATCGATATGTTATTTTCTCCCCTTAACTTTAAGCATATTGTATTTTCACATCTATAAATATTCAAAGCTCATAAATATTTTTTACATTTTAAGTGCAGGCTCTTCTCCATTAAACGACTAAATAACCTATGTAGCGACTAAATAACCCAAGTCAGTTGACTATAGACACCAGGTTATGAGAAACCACGCAGGCTTAATTGATCGAGTCAAATAGGCTTCGAAAAAAGAATATAAGATATTAAAATTTTTATTATCGAGGATAAATCTGAGTTTAGGTCTAATAAATAAGGTTCAAAGTCATCTTACTAACAAGTGATTGACATCCCAAATCTCACACACGCAGTAGAGTCTCACTAACAATATCATAGTGCGTGCAACGCAGATGGTACATGAAGATACATATACGAAGTACTCCATAAAAAACCTAAGCCAGCAATGGAAACTATGTTATAGCTAATCGATTAACCCCATACTTGATCACAACATACAAATTCAAGTATTATATATTAGCTGTAAAAATAATTTCCCGCATTTTTAATTTTCAATTTTCATTTTTTTTAAATTTAAAGTATCAATGCACTAAACACATAAAAAATGTCAAACTCACAAAAATAAAAATAAAAATAGATAATAATAAAGAAAATATGAGTTTTCTTTATAGAAAACAAATAAGCAAATATGATGTATGCACGAATGAATGGACTTAATGAACTGCACATGCATGCACCTAAGTATCTAATTAAACAGGTATATGGATGCTCTTACCTTTAAGAGCATGATCAATCTCACGACCTTTCAAGTCACTCTTCTTAACCCGAACCATTTTAGAAGTAGAAGTGATTCTAGTTAATTAAGTCATCATCTTAATTAAGTGGCTAACCTGATTGACGAAAAAGTTAACCTTACTCGAGATATCCTCATCTTTACTTCTAGTTGTGAGTTTACGACACTTAGATCTTGTGTGTCCCAACTCACCACAACGGTGGCAGTTGGGAATAGAACTCAGTTCAAACCAACGCGGAGGTTGTGGTTGATTTATAGGACGATTGATCCTACGTTGTCTAGTAGGTCTCGATCCTAAAACATTCCTATCCTTGGGTTTAGGATTAACAGTATTCCGAGCTTTGTAAGTGGTTAGGACAAAACAAATGAGGGAAATGTCAAGGACCACAGCTTTATTTAAACCCCATGATCCTATCACACCCGTAATTTGCACAACTTTGACCTGGTGTGAGACTTTCTCACTATAAAATGCTTGTTGAAATAAAAATAAGAGTTCTATGACTATTAATAGATGGCTTTGTTAGATTTTTTGATACCTAATAAATTTAGACGATGATGTAAAATCGATGTTAGATTAGTAGATTGATGATCCAACCCTAAAACTATTTGGGGCCATTAACTAGAGTTACACATGGCCCGGTCCCTCACTTAGTTGATGGTTTATTTGGCCTATTTAGTGTCTTCTTTTTGGGTTGGCCCATTACTGTAATCTAAGTGATCCTATATATTTTCCTTCTTCACGGCTTTGTCATTTGAAGAGTGTTTTGCCCCCTTTTGCTTGAGAGAGACACACGGCTACTTCCCTTTGTGCTTTGTGCTTCCAGTTAGCAAGTTGTTTTGTTCATCTTCTCATTGTTCCCAACCTTTGTGGTTTCTACTTTGGGGCTGCAAAACATCTTTCCTTTGTGTCCTAAGTGGGTATATTGAAAGCAACCGAATAGAGAAACAGTGGAAAGGTTTTGGGTCAATCGAATGGGTGTTGATGTGGTTGGTAAACTGAGTCTGGTTTTGGTGGTGATTGGAGTCCTATTTCTAACAGGCTCAAAAGGAAGAAATTGTAATTGAAATAAAAACAGAAGATATATTATTAATGTACAATAGTGGAAATAAATAACGGACGAACATCAACCCAAAAAACATTACTAGGCACTCTCGCACTTAGATGAAAGTCTCACATTTAACTTCCTAGAATAAAACTATGGCATCTCCTTGTACCCTACACGATTAGGAATGCGCCGAGAGGTAGGGATTAAATATCCTATTAATAGTGTTCATTTATTATTTATTTATAGTATCAATTTTTTTATTTTTTAAACTCAATTTAAATTTTCAAAATATAAAATAAAATAAATTCAGGGCTAAACCATGTGTCGCACTGCGTGATCAAGGTTTTTTTTTTGTAACTCAAATATTCGAATTTCGCTTGACTAAATCTAAGAAGTGGCAGCATTCCCCTTGTTCGCCACCCTTGGATAAATTGGATACTATCACAACTTATACACATTTGGATCAAACATTTGAAAAGCGGTTCTCCTTCCTATGAACCCTTATTTACGACATGTAGACGGGAGAGGAGTGGTGACAAATTGTACCATGACTTTATCTCCATGGGACATCTACTTTCCAACGTAAATATGGCCTTCCAACTGTCGCGGAAATTCAAACCTCCAATGGAATTGCTCTATTTTCCATCCGTTTCACACCAAAATAGAGTTGAGAAATAGGGATTTCTAGCGAGCCTTTAGCACGTGAGAAGATGGGGTGTTGACCCTAAAGCAGATAACATTGTAACTGCATTGTCGAGGTAAATGCTGACTTGGGAGAGGAGAAACGTGGACTTGCATAGTATTCCCCGCCGTGAGAGAAAATCGCCGTTTACTTCACGTACTTCATGATGTTTAACAAGTATTGAATGCCCACTCCAGAATTCCATATAGGGATGGCTTACTTTTGATTCTCTCTTCCTCACTCAGTGTGTGTTTGTATGTAAATTGATCGAAACTGGAAAATGGGTGAATTGATGATTAGAACTTTATGTACAATGGTGATGGTAGTACTGATAAAGATGCCGCCGGTAAATGGATTTTATCTTCCCGGCGTTGCGCCTCGAGATTTTCAAATAGTAATTTCCTCTCTCTGTACATACATGCATTCACTCATTCACATTTATTCGATTCTATCGATTTAGAATTTTAATGTAAAAGTGGGTTCATTTACATGATTCGTGTCTCTATTCTTCTTATGTATTTTGGACGTTTATCTTATTAATTGCATCTGGCTTAGTGTGTAGTTTTACATATACAGACTTGATAAATTATATAAATTCAGAATCCCTCTGTTGTACATTGCCCCCGATGGAATAAGCTGCATTTTTATTCTTTTTTATTTTACAAATTTGGTTTGGCCTTTTGGGTTTGTGCCAATTGGTTCATAAATCATACTGGGATATGTGTTCAACATAGTTATGTGAGAAAAAACTCGTGTTCATGTACAATTTTCTGATAAATAGGCAGTAAAAATTTGCTGTGGTGGAAAATTGAAATGGGAATCATCATCATCATCTTAGAGTTGGTTCAGAAAAAATTGAATAAATCCCAAGTCATTGGAGAGAGGGAGCCAAATTGGAGATCTTTGTCAATCATCAAGTTTTTGTTTTTTCTTACTTATTGGTTAAATGACCTAATGATAATTTAATGGATCATTAAAAAAAAAAAACCAACCTAGAAATTTCCAGATCCACAAAAGAATGAAAACCAGAGGTGTTGAGGTTAAGATGGTCTCCTATGGATGTTACTCCATATTTCCACCAGTCATGTAGCATTGTTCGTTTTAAAATCTGTGACCTCAGTGCGTCAAAAGTCATGCAACCTCGTCCAGTAATTTTTTCGTAAGATATTTTCTTGTAGCACTTTCGAAATGTCAACTATTGAAAGAATCAACTGCCAAGAGGATTTTCGTTATCCTCTACGTGCTGGTTGATCTCGACATATGTTGAGAAAACTTTGTTACAATTTCTGCGAATGTGTCAAACTCTATATTTCGGCCATTAGTAAGACTTGAGGCGAAGAACTTTTTGATTGCTAGATAATTGAACTTAAATTGCAAGTGGCTTTTGCTCGATTGTTAATCAAGCGTGTCAAATGCAGTTTATTTAAATATTTTAGGTCTGGTTTTTAATATTTGTTTCAGTACTTCTCTATGTTAGGAGTCTACGGTTGAAATAGAGCAGTTTTTATTTTCTTAAATATTATTTGATACTTTAACTGCTAAGAAAATATTGATTTTCTGTTTTTCGTTTAATATTTCATGATGATTCTTTTAATTGTTTAGCTTTTTCATTATTTGAGATGCACAAGTTACAGAAATTTTGAGCGCACATTCAAAACCATTAACGAGAGAATAACTTGCATCGCTGAATCTGACTTATTAACTAAATCGAGAATTTCATGACGCTGTTTATAAAGTTTCTGCTTGTCTTTCTATTGGATTTTGTCTAACGTCATTTGTCATTATTAGCTGAATCTCTTCCACTTCTATACAGGGTGAAACTCTTGAAGTAAAAGTCAACAAGCTTACATCAACAAAAACACAGTTACCATATGACTACTATTTCCTGAGTTATTGCAAGCCTCCAAAAATAAGGAACAGTGCAGAAAATTTAGGAGAAGTTCTTAGAGGTGACCGAATTGAGAATTCTGTATATACTGTGAGTATGGTTTCCTTCTCAGCTTTAATTTTTTATCATGAAACTTCTTTTTCTGTTTAGGAATTCTTTTAAAGAATAAACTTTCTTTATAAGCCTATTGTCTTGTTTGGTAACTAAATTCATCAATTTCTGATCCAGTTTCATATGAGAGAACAGCAATCTTGCAAAGTTGCCTGTCGAGTATCACTTGACTCTGCATCTGCGAAGAATTTCAAAGTAAAGATTGACGATGATTATCGAGTAAACCTGTTAGTTCTTATTCATTATGTATTATTCTGAATTTGTCATATAAGCATGGATATGCAAGTCAATTCATATAATTTCTGTTGATTTGGAGAGTGTAGTTAGTCTAATCAAGTTTATACCATGCTAGCATGGCTAAGAGTGCTGGGTACAAAACTTTGAGGATAGTGGATTGCATTTCTATGTTTGCACATATATATGTGTTCCGTATAGGCAAGTTGTTTCTCTGAAGTCTTCTCACGGCATTTATTCTAAACTCATTTCTAAATTGGCATATAGGATTCTGGACAATCTTCCTGTTGCAGTTCTCTGGCCGAGCAGGGATGAAAAACCAGCAGTTTATGAGCGTGGATTTCGAGTTGGATTCAAAGCAGAATTTTTTGGTGTAAGATCCATATTAGATTTGTCACATAGTTTTTTGGACTAAAATATTTTATAATTGATTGTTATACTTTTCTGGACCAGATGAAAGATCAGAGATATTTTATTTACAACCATCTCAATTTCAGAGTTAAGTATTACCAGGATCCTGATACTGATTCTGCTCTCGTTGTTGGTTTTGAGGTCACTCCTTTGAGGTTTGTCCTACATTTCAGTCTTTCCCTTCCCAAAAAAAGTAAAAAATTGTCTAATTATATATTCTGCTTGTTCCATTTTTATAATATAATTCAACCATTTATTGTAGGTCACGATATACTCTTAGGACTGAGTGAGCTTTGTTATCAAGCAAGTTGATATTGAGCCACAATCACATATAAAAATATTTCCTGCTCTTTCTTCCTAAAATTCGTTTCATATTAAGTTGAAACCAAGATTGACTTAGTGGTTAAGCATCTAACTTAATTGTAGGCTGTAGGAGGTCAGAGTATAATCTGAGCAGAAAATGAGTTTTTAGCATTATTCAAAACTGCCTCTGTTCTGTATCCTCATTACTGAGCCAAAACTGATGTTTAATATAGAGTTTGCGTTTGCTACTGCTAACATTCTTTAATTATTTGGCTTGCCAAATGGAAACAGCATTAGTCACAAGTATACGATATGGAATGACAACAACACTCAGTTAAAAACATGCAAACCAGGTACCAATACGGTACTACAACCTGGCCTTGTTCCTCAAGAGATTGAATCAGACACGGAGATTGTGTTCACGTATGATGTTTCTTTTGAGGTACTTCACTTTTTCTTTTTTCCGAATTCTCCTGTTTGCTCCCATTTTTTCCTTCGGTGTCTAAATATAGGTGCCCTTCTGCAGTCTAGTGACATCAAATGGGCTTCTCGTTGGGATACATACCTTCTCATGAATGATAATCAGATCCATTGGTTCTCCATTATTAATTCTTTGATAATTGTCCTTTTCCTATCTGGTATAGTAGCTATGATCATGATGAAAACACTATACAGAGACATTGCCAACTATAATCAGTTGGACCAGGATGAGGTGCACGAAGAAACTGGGTGGAAGTTAGTACATGCAGATGTCTTCAGGCCACCTAATAATTACAGTTTATTGTGCGTGTACGTTGGGACTGGAGTCCAAGTCTTTGGAATGACTTTTGTGACTTTGATTTTTGCACTGCTTGGTTTCCTTTCGCCCTCAAATCGAGGTGGGCTCATGACAGTCATGGTTTTCTTATGGGTTTTCATGGGCTTATTTGCTGGGTATTCCTCGGGTCATCTCCACAAAATGCTCAAAGGCAGAGACTGGAAAAAGACCTCTCTGAAAACAGCCTTCATGTTCCCGTCTGTTCTTTTCACCACCTTCTTTATGTTGAACGTTCTTATATGGGGAGAGAAATCCTCAGGAGCTGTGCCATTCGGAACAATGTTTGTAATCGTGCTCTTATGGTTTGGCATATCAGTGCCATCAGTTTTCTTAGGTAGTTACTTGGGTTTCAAGACCCCTGCGAAAGAAAATCCTGTCCAGACAAATAAAATTCCTAGGCCGATCCCTTTGCAGCCATGGTACATTAATCCACTTTTTGCCATGCTTTTTGGTGGGATTCTTCCATATGGTGCAGTCTTCATAGAACTCTTCTTCATATTGAAATCAGTATGGCTGAACCAGTTTTACTACATCTTCGGCTTCCTCTTCATCGTCTTTGTCATTCTTTTGATCACTTGTGCTGAGATAAGTATCGTACTATGCTACTTTCAGTTATGCAATGAAGATTATCGGTGGTGGTGGCGATCCTACTTGACTTCAGGTGCTTCGGCGTTATATCTTTTCCTCCACTGTATCTTCTACTTTTGTGCTAAGCTGGAAATCACAAAGCTTGTCTCAGCCATTCTCTACTTTGGTTATATGTTTATAATCGCTTATGCCTTCTTCATACTTACTGGGACAATTGGCTTTTGTGCATGCTTCTGGTTCATTCGGAAGATTTACTCTTCTGTCAAGATCGACTAGTTAGTCGAGGAATACTTTCGGCATTTAGTAAGTGTAAACACAGAAGCCCAGAGGGGTCTTAGACGAATGATGCCCCAGTTTGTAAGATTACAAAATTTGAACAGATAAAAGTTTACTTTTATGTCACATGACTCACATCTGAGATGGAAATAACATGAACTTGACTCACATAATATTACTTTTATGTCACAGGCTCAAATTTAAATGTGAACTTGGCAAGATGGTCTTCAAATTTGAGGTCCTGTAAAACCTTGGTCAATCTATTTTTAGGCCTTTAGACATGTAAATTTCATATGTGGTAACTATACTTTTTTTTTTTTTTTTTAGTGTTAGTCAGATAACTATACTTCAATTTTGTTTAATGAAATAACTACACTTTAAATTGGTTTCTATCGACTATTTTATTTCACTGAAGTTGTACTTATTTCAAATCGCAACTACCAGTCACGTGTGATGATCATCATTATTGGCTATCACGCATCATTTTCCACTAGTGAAATTAACGAAGAGTTATCCTATTGAAATCAAATTAAAGTGTAATATTCAACTGAACAAAATTAAAGTATAATTATACGATTAACATTAAATGGATGTTGTCTACTTAGAATTTGGTGTGATATAGTGAGGTATTATCCGTCGATTGGAGTCGAGTCGACAGCACATTGAAAAGTTTGTTTTACTTGCTTATCCAGGTTTCTAAGCTTGATAATATTGCTAATTGAGCGGATATATACTTAATTTAGGGAAAATTGCGGCCGTGGTCCCAAATCTTTCATTTTGTTGT